TTTTTTTTTTTTTTTTTTTGGGTTTTAGTATGTTCGTTCATATGTGTAGTCTTGGTCAGTTTTGATCAATAGCTCTGTTTTCTAAAACTACTCACCAACCTCTTCAGATTAATGGCTCCCTTGCAAGGAAAGCAATCAAGGATCTGATGGCAAGAGGCTTCATTAGGATGATATCTGCCCATCTTAGTCAGCAGATTTATACCAGAGCTACCAATACATAAGGAAGATGTACTACTGCCCCTGCAGTTTAGATGGAGAACTAATTCTTTCACGTTTTCCTTTTTTGTTGGAAAACTTGTGAGGAATGCCATTTTCGTGCTGCCAAATTTGTCAGTTGTCTTTTGGATCCAAATCTCTGTAGTTTGTTGCTAAATTATGGTATTTTTTAATATCATAATATCTTCTTGTTGGAAATCTATCTCTGCCATGCTTAATATGATTTGCAAAAACATAAATTCATAATGTCTTGGGAGTCCATTTTCCTTTCCCCTTCCTCCTAAGTTCTTAGTTAATTAATTAATCATTCTAAGCATAACCCTTTTTTAAAAATGGAAAGCGTAACCTATCACTGAAGGCCTTGTGAAAGTTTAATTAATTGTTGCAACAGTGGATCTGTGGATGTTGACATTTTCACAATTGGAAATTTGGAATGAAGGCAAGTATAAAGGAGCCCCAAACCGGACAAATAAAGTTTATATTTGCAACAAGAGCAAGCGGAAATTAGATTGTAAATACTTCTAATCTAATCACGATCACTAATTAAAGTGGAAAATAATTATCATTTAAGTGATACTCCACTTAAATAATAGTTATTATGATTAGATTTTCTTATAATTTTAATATTAAAATATTTTGATTTTTATTTTTTTATTAAAAAAATTATTTTTCGAGACTTTGTTATTGGCTAACATTAAGTGATAAGTATGCATTTGACCTAATGGTATGATTTTTGTTTTGAATGTAAGAGATTCTAAATTTCATTATCAGAATGTTTTTTTTTTTTTTTTGGGAATTAACTTCCCAATATCTAGTAATTATATTAGATCGTGACTAATTTGGAATCGAACAGTGTCAGACCTTATTAAGAGGAAATTTTCCCAACACCTATTTCTTCATTCATAAGACTCGAACTCAAAATTTTATTTAAAGAAAATCAAATTTTTTTCATTTAGACCAACAAATCGTTGGTGAAATGCTTCCTTATTTTCTATAGGAATTCCTCACGTTTTGACTAAAAATACCAAATGACAATCAAGCATCCATTTTTTCAAACTTAATTGGAAAGATAACGTTGGCTTGATTTTGATTTCAAAAACACCTTTTTGAAATTTAGTGGATAGATAACGTTGTGCTTGATTAAGATTCTGACTCATTAAAAAGCTGCATAAATCATTTTATAAAGTTGCATAAATCATTTTATAGGGGAAAAAGTAAAGTGACTTTGTTTGGATAGGGTTAGAGACTACTGTACCAGCATATTAGGATTTTTTCAATTGTGGTGGTAGATGAATAATTTTTTTATATTGTATTTTTATAAATTTTTATATATTATTAAATGAATTGGTGTATTTAATATTATGAATTTAAAATAAATAAATAAATTATTATTTAAGTGTCAAATAAGATTATATAAAAAGATAATAAAAATTTATTTTAAAATCATTTTTCTTTTTCCAAAATGATACTAACACGAAACAGGCACCAATATTTTGTATTGGGGTAGTAATACATTGTAGTAAATACTTAGTAGTAATATTAATTTTTTTAATGAGAATATACTCTAATAGATACATCAAAGTGTTTTATTTTTTATGGAAATAGGTTTTAATCGAATTGTATTTCAATAACAATAAATAAATTTAGATCCACTCTTAATATCATCTTTTGATTTATGATTAAAACTTTAATGATATCACTTAAAAAATTTTGAAACTAAAAATTTTCAATTGATTGCTTGTAAGGAAAACAAAATTGAAACTAGAATTTTTAAAAGAAAAACTTAAATTCAAAACTTATATAAGCCAAGAGGATATATATATATATACACACCTAAAATATTATTTTATAAGGTGAATTATATATAATTTATTTTATAGAATTATTTAAATATTTTTTAAAAAATAATATAAAATAAAATTTAATAATATTTAAATAATTTTACAAAATAAA